AAAAGCAGAATAAAATATTGGCAATGCCACATCCAGGTAGTCAAGTGTTCTCTTCATACAATAAGTTGGAAAATGGCCAGTATATTGTCTTACTCTGTGTTTAGAAGGCTGAGTGATTATTATCTTGAAACGAGCCCCTACAGCAGTGACGTAGAAAGTCAACAAAATGGGCATTGATCTGATTAATCCAGGCAGCTATGATATACAAGTTTGAGGCCTAGGCTCTCCCAATATCTTGTATTAAAATGCCTCTACTGCGCATAAGCTCGTTAGAACTGCAGCATGAAGTAATTCAACTGTGTCTCTCGAATTTGAGTAAACAACTCCACTAATGTACCTCTGACCAATTATGGGGAATACAAAACCAAACTGAGACTGGTCAAAGAAACTACAGCAACGTGCTCAAACATTGAGTATGAATAGATATACAAACCAGTCGTGAGTGACGTGAAGATGCTGTGCTGCTGCTCCTGGAATGAGTGGGTTTATGCCAGCCACTAGAAGGCTTTTCACCACTACTCGTGTGCGACTGATTATGATCCACTGAAGACCCATGGGAGTCCATCTTGATAAAGTCCTCTTGAAGACTTAAAGCTGAGTTTGGTGAAAATAAAAGATCTAGATATTCCCTTTCATTGTATGCTATAACGCAATATACCTGTGAAACAAAGAGGATCTAGTTTTAAACAATATAAACATCAATTTAGCAAATATAAAAGGTATAATTTGATAATGCCAACCATTTAAGACAAAGAAGACTATTGGCTATTACTCATTTTATAAGAAAAAAATGTAACTACTGCAGAAGAAAGTGGTTGGTCCAAACTCAAATGACAACAGTACCCAGAAAAGGGTAAATACGCAAAAACAGGAACCTTTAAATATGTTACCCAAGTGATCTGCCTTAACAAATACTTCCTTAGAATGAATTTCACAAGTTTTCAGAGTAAAAAAGAAAGTAACCCCAAAATAAAAAAATAAAAATGTCATTCCATCATTACATTCCAAATGTAAATTCTTTCTACAAAAGGACTTGTAACTGGTGACCCATGAGCTCAATGGTACAGCAAAAGTACGAGGAAGTCAGTGGTTACCGGTTGCATAACTTCTTATAATCTTTGAATTTACCATAAACCAAAATAACTCTAAAATGCAGCACAATACATAAATTGACACATTAGACCAAAGAAATAGCACATTTACAATTACCTCACCACTGTCTGAAATAACAGAAAACGTTGTTCTTCCAGATCTAAGCTGAATGGAATGTCATCGGAGAGGTGTGACGGAAACCAAACATGTTTACAAGAATCTATCATCTCAGCGAGTTCATACCAAGCCCAGACTCATGAAGGGAAAACAATGTGAATTCAACTTTCGTAACATAATTGCCAATAATCATCAATTAGGCTTGTAAGAAACATTATCTTTCAACCAGTACATGCAGTCTGAAACACATGTACAACCATTTTCAATGATTACTTGATGTTCAACACTAATACTAGAAGTAGACCAATTAATCAGCCCACCGATATATCGGTTGTGTTTTAAAAAAAAAATAGTAATCTCCTTTAGTTTACATTGAATATTACCAATAGCAAGGATAGTAGCCAAACACAGGTAAACGTCCCCAGGGAAAGGCTTATAGTGTCTTTAGGATAATTGGCTTTGAGGATCTTTTTATAGCAGTCCCTTGCCTGAACATGTGTATTTCTCTAAAATTAACGACTAGCGACTGAAAAACAATGGGATGCGCACGTTTTAAACAAGTCTTAACGAACATGGAGAACCAAATGAGCTAACTTAATGTTTTAATTACAATGTTAACTATATAAAAAAAACAACGAGGTAAAATGGTAACTTAACATGTTTGTTTACGCCAGGTAGCGTTAACGTAAAAAGTTACATAAAGCATCATCAGGTGTGTACAGAACCCGGACGTAAACTTATACATTAAAAACATCTAACATCTAAACACGTTAAATCCACTTCACATGGATCTTTGTTGCAAAAAAAATGTTTCAACAAAGTTTGCATGTTTGTCCTTCGAGGTTTAACGAACACCACGTGTGTAAAACGCCGATAAATCGGAAGAACACGATGTTTACAAAAATATGGCAAGCCAGCTCATCACAAAGTTCTATCATACAACGTAGTTTATTATGGTTAACGTTTCCAAATAACATTTTAAGCGTTTGCCACCTCACTATCGGATCATGATTATCACAATTGTATTTTATAACCGTGATCCCTGCGCCTGGTAGCTGACATTTACAAGCAGGTAGTTGATGGTAACTCGCATTCTTACCTGAAATCCCTGCTCCTGACCTGCGTGTGGTACAATTCTGAGTAGATGCCTCTGAACGCCTGCTTTTCACGTTCCCCCATTTGTACAACCCCACGTCACTCACCGAGAACCGGTTCGGCAACTTTCTCCTGAAACTCAGGAATGCAGAAAGTCCATTTGCATAGCTGAACGATGTGACAGCTCTCGGTTCTCCTGCACTCGGGACTGAACATCCCTCAAATCCATCACAGGCTTCGGGCCAAATCGTTATCCGCATTAGTCTTAAAAGCTGTCGGAATTACTGGCACGTAGGAGGAACAAGACTGAGATGCAGACGTTCAGATACAGACAAATAAAGCCAGTGAACATCATTCAGATGCAACATGTGATTGTGACTATAAAACCTACATCAGAAAATTAGCACCGCTAATGCAGTTTAAGAAAAGTTGCATCTATGGCTTGATTTGGTCATATTCTCAAACTCTGCTTTTCGTTCAAGTGCTCTCATTAGCATATGTAAATATATGTAAATGAGACAAATGATGTTGCGACTTATTCTGTATGCTCATTTTCAAATGACTGGGATATACAAATAGAATCTTCATTGTAACCTGTGTATGTGCAGATTGGAACATCTGAATTTGTTGTGCACAAGTACATTTCCAGCATTGTACATATACAATGAGTCATTCAACAAATAAATCTTTAAATAAATAAGAAAAATTAAAAGCAAACATGCAGAGTCTTAGAAATACATGTATTACATGAATGCATTGATTTATTTAGCAATGTCTCCATATATTCTGTATGCATGCATTCATGTTCTCATTTAAGCATACATTTATTCTTTTATGTATTTATATATTTATTCATGCAGTTGTCTGCTTTATTTCTATATTTATTTGATCTTTACCAGGGGTGTAACAATATATCGTGGCACTTTACACCGCAATTCAAAATATTGTGGAGCCACTAGAGATATCAGGCATTTGCTTCTTGGAATGATTGTGATTCTAGTTACTTCTGAAACTTCTCTTCTTCTCGTTTCATGTAATATTTACTAGGCGACAATTATCATATTTTAAATGAGAAAGATAAAATTCCCCATTAGAGTAAAAGATGACTTAATGCAAACGCTAACACTGCCCCCTGGTGGATGAATGGTATTAAATGCTCTTGTATAAATCAAACTAGACCCTGGCCTACTTCGCTTTGGATTCTTTTGTAGATATTTTTTCCAATGATGATGTGTTATATAACAATTTCAATAATTAGTTAAAAATAATGTTCTGAAATATTGTAATAAATATCATAGACATAAGACTGAGGTTTTGTATTTTGAACAGTTTATCGTTACACCCCTATACTTAATGCATACACAGAATTAAAAGATAACCTATCTCTCTCTCTCTCTCTCGTTTTGAATTTTGTGAAGTGTAAAGCTTTATTTACAACGTAAAGCTCAAAACCAATCCTAGAAGTGTAACAATAAGACCGATGCAGAGAAACATGTTACTAAACATATAAATGTTTCTCCTGGTTTTCAGTATGATACGCAATAAAACTGCAGGTTGTGAAACATACATTTTATTTTATTATGTTTAATCTGAGTCAGACCAAAGTATCCAAATAAACAATATTATACTGAGCCATTGAGTTAAATCAAGCAGCTGCTTCCTGTCCAACAGTATCATCAACGTCCACAGGTTCCTTTTGTTTGACATGTTGCTGAAGAAGGGCAGACAGGTGAACTGGATGGTGACGAAGCAGTGAGTGAGTCTGCGATGTGATCATGGTGAGATCACTAACCAGTTGACCCTGGATTACGCCAATTGACTGGAGTTTGGAGTAACTGACAATGCCTTGATATGACATCAGTGTGTTCTCCACACAACCCCCTGAAAGAGAAAATTTCAGAAAGGTTAAACCAAGCAAGAAGCTTTTTTTTTGTAAGGGATGGTGTTCCATCCAAAAAGTGTTCCAAAAGAGATGAACCAAAAAGTGTTCCATCTTTTCCATTACCTTTCTCAAAATGATGAAAGTTTTAGAAAACAATAAAAATGTTAATTTATTTAAATACTATTTAACACTACAGCTTCCAGGAACAATCCCCAGTGGGTCTCGATCAATGGTCTTCCTGTTTACTATTACCAGGGAAAGACAAAGTAGCCAAAAGCAATGTTAATTCAGGTTGAAAAAAAATGTAATTTATTGCTTGATTTTGCCCTATTTTGGATTCGATGTCTGTTTTTCATTCAATTGTGCTCATTAACATATGTAAATATGATCTTTTACTATATTATTTGTGTTAATCGCTTATGATTCATGTTGCAAATGATGCTCAGATTACAAACTACTCACAAGTATGAACTACTCTAGAGCTTGTTTTGAACCATTCCAAGACCACCTCCTCGAGCAAGTCTCGGACTGCTGTTTTTGTCCACTTTTGGTCCAATTTTCCATTTGATTATTGCTTTCTCACCTGCCAAATGACCCAATCTAAAAGGGAAAACAAACTAGATCGTTCGAATCAAACTAAACATATCAGGTGTGAAAGCCCCATTTACAGGGCATCTGAAAAGGCTCAACTTTGCCTATTTTGGGGGGAGGGAGTCTAAATATTGTACAGTGGCCACCACTTTGTTATTCAAAACTGTCAGGCAATCAGGAAAGTGAACAGTTTATGCGGATTCAGTAAATATGCCACTGAAACTGTGCTCAGTTGGTAGAGCATTGTGCAAACAATGCAAAGGTCATGGGTTCAAATCCCAAGGAAACCAAAAACTGACAGAAACAGCTTCATTCTTTCAAAAAGTCGCTTTGCATAAAAGTAATGGAACTGAACACTTTTTTTGAGATGATAATAATAATATGTATACAATTGTCTTAGTCTACTAAATTTTTTTAGGTCACTTTAAAAGCAAAGTCATGTAACATCTACCAAAAGGCACAATAACATAACACAGTCTATTAATATGCATGAGAAATGATCGAATCGGTGTGTAGTTTCATGAATGTATTAAAGCTACATGAATATGCAGAAAAGAAATGCATGCAGCAGCTGGGATCAGGCAGGATGACTTGAAAGAGGATTTTCTGCACATGTAAGTTTTTGGAGAACGACATTTAAATACCTGATCAGGTAAATGTTTTCATTATGGAAACTCATTATAGATTTAGATAAAACCTGGAAGTTTTGGTAAAGCCGGAAATAGAAAAGCATTGATTTCATTCACAGTTATGGGCAAAGGCAGCAAATAAATTATTCATGCATTAACTAATTATTTCATTCATCTTCTTACTCGCTTGTTCCCTTTTGACGTCACAGCTGATGCCTTAAATGTACCCTTCATTTTGTGGGCAAATCAATTTATCTACAGCAAATACAACTGAGCTCGTAAGGGTGCCAGCATTGATCATTTCATGAACAGAGTGAAATTATATGTGACATTGTATCTTTCAGGACCACAATATCTGCAGCTGTTTGATTGTGCTCCAACTGTTTATAATAATTGGCTATTTTCATTCAAAGCCATCCCCGACTGTTGACCCCCCCCCCCCCTCTCCTCCTTTCACAAAGTTTTCAAATAGCGAGGTGTCAGAGAACACCATGGAGACTAAGGCTGGGCGATATGGACCAAAAGTCATATCCCGATATATTTAGGCTGAATATCGATATACATCCCGATATTTTTATCAAAAAGTGAGAGCAATTGTTTAGTCACAGTCAAACCCAAATATGACATTTCACAAGTAGATTTATTTAAACTGGCCGGATGAAACAATACTCAGCTGTTCCCTTGTTTTTGGGAATAAAATATAAATATATTTGAATAAGCAAATAAAATATAAAAATCTAAAGTTTGTATAATGCTGTGCGTTCATAACATATTAAAATATTCAATGCTGTAAGCAACTTAGGCGATTGCATTCTTTTAAACTTTTTTAAACAATATTTATAGTTTTACAATGTGTTACAAGTAAATTTGACATCTACGCGGCATATAAGCAAAATAAAAATTAAAACTTTTTCACGAGTAAACATTTTATGTGAACTCTCATTGGCTTAGTCTGTGTAATCACATGATTGAATGCGCGTTCACGCAAGAGGGAAGTCGGAATCTGCCGGGGAGTCGAAATATGGCACAACAACGGTACACCGCGGGAAAATGAAGCTTGAAGGGAGCTTTGTGTCGGGGCTGGAGCTTTTGCGGGTTGCGGTTGGCTTGCAGCTGGGGCCTCGGCAGCGCGCAGTTTCACACTCTTCATACTGCAGTTTGTGCCACTGTTTTAGATGGTGAAAAAGATTTGTAGTGCTTCCACCCCTGGCTGTAACTTCTTTATGGCACTCCCTACATATGACATGGTTTTGTTTCCCATCAGAAACTTTGAATCCGAACCATCTCCATATTACTGAGCCGCTACTTTTTTGTTTACCAACTAATTTCTCCGCATTCTCAGCAGATGTTGTTGCTTCCTCCATGTTTGTTGAAGAGTGCCGGCGGATTGTCTGCTCCAGAGTCCAGCCCCTCCCCTCTCTGTGCCTGAAAGAGGAGGGGCGTGGGCAGGGGCACGCAAAGTAGTGCTGAGAGCTCCGGGTTAAAGCAGTTTGCTGGAGCAAGGCTCACAGCGCAGTTTGAACTACGCAGCCTATATCGATATATGCGATATGGTCAAATTTCATATCTCGTTTAAAAATATATCGATATATTTTTAATATCGATATATCGCCCAGCCATAATGGAGACATGGAAATCCATTGCTAGGAAATCCTTTGTAGTGGACCTCAATGAATGAAACAAAAATTGCAGTTGATTACCCCTTTAAATTAAGCTATTTGCCCAAAACAAACCACTTACCCAACAGCACCATTTCTGGATAATGCTTCATTGTTTGCAGCATCTCCTTTACCTTTGCCTGCTTGCTTATAAAGAGCACAGTCTTTCCACAGACTAGTGGTAACAAGTTACAGTAGATGCTGTTGTTGAGGAAGGCCCTTGTCACCTACATAAAAAGACAAAAAAAATAAAACAAATAAATTATATATATATATATATATATATATATATATATATATATATATATATATATATATATGCTCTTCTATATATATATATATATATATATATATATATATATGTCCATATATATATATAAAAACAACAGTAGATCAACATGGGCGAAATTGCTTTGCAGAACAGCTTCCAGTTACCTGGTTCGGGAAGAACCTGATTCTGATGTCATGTTTTTTCAGACGCAGTTTTAGACGTGTAAGATCATCTGTATGGATGGCATTGTAGTGGACCACTACAATCAATTTATTTTCTTCAAATACATTTTCTAAGTCTTTCCTCAGTAGGTTTGCTAAAGGATGTTCCTAAAAGAACAGATACACAAACAATTATATACACAAGTTATATTAAAATTAAATAATACTAATAATATAATACTAATGGAATACTAATCATTACAATTACTTATAATACTAGTGGTTAAGGTCAGACAATTATAATAACATTAAAGACATGATAACTTCAACAAATGACTCACAATTTAAATACTACTATCATTTAAAAAATAACATTAAAAACAATTTAACTACAGAACAACATATATAAACTCTTATGGTGACTAAGAAGTAAACAAAATGAAAAGAAAATAAAGATGAAAAAAATATATTAAAAGAAAAAGTGAAATTATAAGATTTTTTTTAGCATTGGAATACAGTATGTGCTTTTTGACAGAGGCATATAGATCCACCCAACAGCAGCGCTGACAAACTGCATCTGAAGCTTTAATGAAGTACCATTTGTGTCCATTTGCGTCTCGGAACCAGGGCCTCAGGAGGAGCTCTCGGTTTGGGGGGAATGTACTCTGTAACAGCCAGAAGCTTCTGCTTCAAAATGTGAAGAGGTTTTCTGTGGCGAGTCACAGCTTTGGACCCATGACGAACATTCTGTGTCAAAGGGACCCATCCTGCAACATAATGAGAAATTAAACAAAACTAACTAGAACTATAAAGATTTCCAATGAGAACGACTAAACAAGACTTTAATAATTATGACACCTTCTGTCAATGGGCAACAAGGACGCAAAGATAAAGCCAACCTAATTGATTACCTAGATGATGCCGTGCTACTATGAGCAATGATAAAACGTTTATTAGAAAATTAAAATGACACTACTGTACAGTGGAACATTAGCGTGTTTACGAAATAGATTTAATGCACAATTTGGACAGTTAGATTATCGTCCACGTTATGTTCTTTTAATGTAAACGAATATTAAAACACGTTTAAAAACGTAATTACCAGATTTTGGTAAAAGCCTGCCACACAAGGTCGCTGCCATTTTAGTCAGGATATGACGTGATAATTTTGACGACATACTTACAAAATAAAGGTTTGTTGTCAAGGTTGTCCTTAAATATAAATAACGATAATATTGTAATAATTTATGATTCATTTTAAATTATAAACAACAAAACTACAAATTACACTACGAAATAATAAAATTATAAAAACAAATCTTTCTACTCAACGTTTAGTTCATACGATGATAATCATGTGATTTTAAATATGTGTGTATTTATGTATGCATGGAAACCAAATAATGTATTTTTTTAATTATTTTGTACAGTTTTGTAATGGTTTCGTAACTTTACGTCCGTAAAAACGTAATGACGTAAGATGAGACCAGTGACAGCGGGAATGAGCCTCAGCACGTCTCGAAAAATCGGCAATACTGTAAAGTTTATTGCTGCTAGTCTTAAACTGACAATCAACAAACCTCCGTTTTTCTGCAGGAATTTCACGAACAACGGCAGCAACATGGATCTGAGTAACATGAGAAAGACATATAAGAGCGATCAGGAGGTATTTACATACATACAGTTATATACACACCAAGCCTTTTACAAACATGAATTTGACCTTCCTCGTTTAGAGCATTATACTGTATATAACGTTATATATTTTAGAATATTGTACTGATGTCGACATGCCGATACGGTGCGTGCAAACAGTTTTGATTCTTAACGTTATAATTGTTTGCGACAGTAGCTACTATTATTTATATGAATTAATATATAATATAAAATAATAAATATTATATAAAGATCTATTAATAATTGAACGTGTTTGCAGACTTCTGCACTTATAAATCACTTCACTACCAATGTATGTGTGACAGAAACTAACCACAGGCCGTTAGATTAAAACTTACCTAGTTACTATACACATTTTTGGCCATGCTATGTTCTATTTGGAATATTTTGGTTTGTACTTATGGCTGTTGTGAAACTTGGCTGTTAGGTCTCTAAATTTTCGTCAAAGTCTTTCATGGCATTTTCCACTCCACTCAAGGTATAGTTCACAAGTACAGTAGTTTTAGGTTGCCTAAAATGTTTCCATGTATGTACAATAAATCAAAGTAGCTGTACTTTAAATTTCGTCCTGCAGTGTTTTGAGGAGGATCAACTTGTGTCTTTAAATCCAATCGAGCAATTTGGTAACTGGTTTGATGAAGCCACAAAGTGCCCTGAAGTTGGAGAAGCCAATGCAATGTGTCTTGCAACAGCCACCAAGTAAGAATTATAAAGAATATAGGAACAAAATTTGCGCGTAGACTATATATATATTGATGCAATAACTGACATTTACAATTACCCAAATAATTTTCAACTTAATACCATAGAGACGGTCACCCCTCTGCGCGGATGGTCCTCTTGAAAGGCTACAGTAAGGAGGGTTTTCGCTTCTTCTCCAACTATGAGAGCCGG